AGAGGAAGGAAAAATAAAAGTGAAGGAAGGGAGAGGAGGGAGGGAGGGAGGAAGGAAGGAAAGAAGGAAGGAAGGAAGGGAAAAGGTAGAGGAAGGAAAAATGAAAAAGAAGAGAGGGAGGGAGGAAGAAAAGGGAAAGATTGGAGGAAGGAAAAATGAAAGAGAAGGGAGAGACTAAGGGAGGGAGGGGGGAGGAAGGAAGGAAGGAAACGAAACAGATTTGGAGAGAAGGAATCCTGGTTAATGGAGCCCTCCTCCTCCTTCCATGGTTGCCCTCCGTCAAGAGCAGAGCTGGCAGGCCCTGTCTGGGCAGTCTGCCTTGGTGGTTACCAGGCCTGCCACCCCCATGTTTGGTTTGGAGAGAAGACAGCAGCCTCTGAGGTCTCCCTGACACCCTCCCTCCTGGCTCTTTTCACAGTCACGAAGCTGAGTGGTTGGCAGAAGATTCCCTCATGCCTACTACTACTACTACTACTACTACTACTACTACTACTACTACTAGAAAGAGCCGTTTGAAAGTTAATGAGGGATGAAGGATAAACGTTCGCCTGAAACCTGCTTCTATCTCCTACAACAGGGGATTGGACTAGAAGACCTCCAAGGTCCCTTCCAACTCTGCTATTCTATTCTATTCTATTCTATTCTATTCTATTCTATTCTATTCTATTCTATTCTATTCTGTACTTGTTCTACTCTATTCTATTCTATTTGCAAAGATGGCCGGACCTGGAAAAATTACTGAGGGCTCAGTATACACACCAACCGTTTCCTGCTTAATCAAAAGACATGAATTTTATCGATGTGACCAAAAAGAAGGCAAGAGCATCGGCGATTTCGTTGCAACGCTGCAGGACATCACCGGAGCATGCGAATTCCTAAACTTGGATGAAGCCATGAGGGACTGAGTGGTCCTGGGACTGAGAGACCTTACACTCCAGGGCCGACTATTAACAAAGCCCAAAATAACGTTAAAAGAAGCAATAGAGGAAGCTACCGCAGCAGAAGCAACGCAGAAATCGGCGGCCGCCATGCGGAAGATGAACAAAGCGATACCGGAGACCCAAAAAAATACTGCCACAACCCACCAGGAGGACATTGAGTCCCCATCGGAAGACGACGTGGAAGAAGAAGGGGTAAATCAACTCCGGGAAGAACAGGGCAGGAAGGACCGGAATGGAAAAAGGTGAGAATTTCATTGTGCCGGTTGCGAGGGGAACCACCCACGTTCCGAGTGCCGTTTCCTAGATGCCATCTGCAAACATTGTGAACGGCGGGGACATGTTGCTAGGGCATGCCAAGCAAGAAAGAACTACGGCCCTAGAGAAAGATGGAACACCCCCCGCCAGAGAGAGAGAAAGACAAACAGGGAGCCGTTGGAACCAAGACAACAGAAGCAGGCGAGGGAAAGAAACAAGTGACGAAAGGAAGAAACACCCCAGACGGTGACCATAGGACACTCCAACACGACAAACAGTGGTGGGATTCAAATTTTTTTACTACCGGTTCTGTGGGCGTGGCTTGGTGGGCATGGCAGAGCAAGGATACTATAAAATCTCCAATCAGAGGTGGGATTTGCTGGTTCTCTGAACTACTCAAAATTTCCGCTACTGGTTCTCCAGAACTGGTCAGAACCTGCTGAATACCACCTCTGACAACAAATGCCAAGAAAGTATGCGCCACATGGAAGTGGATTCAGGCTTATACTTGTCGTCAATGGTATCGTGGGACACCATAAAAAGATTGATACCAAACATGAGCCAGGAAGAACTCGAAAAACAAATGCTAACACTGAAAGACTACCAAGGGAACACAATCCCCGTAGTCGGTACCAGAAAATTCAAGGTAACATTCAAAAAATACACCAAAATTCTTCCATTAACCATAGTCGACCGGAATCGACCCAGCCTTTTGGGACTCAAATGGTTTGCACCATTAGGAATCGAGGTCACAGGGAAACACAGCATAACCGAAACAGAGTGGAAGGACGACCTGATGGAAGAATTCCAAGACGTATTTGACGGAGAACTGGGCAAGTACCAGGGGTCCTCAATTTCCTTTAGTCTAAACCCAAATATAGCCCCAATAAGACTAAAAGCGAAGCAGGTTCCTTTTGCACTAAAACCAAAAATCGATGAGCAATTGGATAAACTCATCGCACAAGGGGTTTTAGAACCAATTGACCACGCTAAGCGGGAAACCCCAATTGTTACACCAATTAAACCGGATGGGTCGGTGCGCATCTGCGGGGACTACAAAGCAACCCTTAACCATGTGCTACAACAAAGCGCATACCCAGTTCCAGTGGTACAGCATCTATTACATTCCCTGGGGGGAGGGAAAATCTTCGCAAAAGTAGACCTCGCACAAGCGTACCAACAGTTGCCTGTTGACTCCGAAATAGCAGAAGCCCAGACAATTGTGATGCACAGGGGGCCATTCAAATGTAACAGACTACAATTTGGTGTCAGCGTCGCCACAGAGGTGTTCCAAAGCTTAATGGAACACCTATTGCAAGGAATAAAAGTGGTGGTACCATACTTTGATGATGTCCTGGTATCCGCCAGGAACAAAAAACAACTACGTAACCACCTAAGGGAAGTCCTAGGCAAATTCAAGGAGGCGGGACTAAAAGTAAAAAAGGAGAAGTGCCAATTAGCCGCCAGCAAAGTTGAATTCCTAGGATACCTTATAGACAGCGAAGGAATCCACCCCACTGAAAATAAAGTCAGAGCAATCAAGGAAGCCCCACTAATAAAACCAATCTACAAGCTTTCTTAGGACTCATTAACTTTTATAATATATTCCTACCGCAGAAAGCAACCATTGCGGAACCACTACACAGGTTGTTTTACAAGAAGGCTACCTGGTCCTGGGTGCAACGAGAAGAAACAGCATAAAAAAATAGATAAAAAACTTGATCACATCAGACTGTGTACTAATACAATACAGCGAGACACTTCCAATAACACTAATCTGCAATGCATCACCTTTCGGCATCAGCGCTGTACTCAGCCACGTACTACCCAATGGGAAAGAAGCACCCATAGCCTTCTATTCAAAGACTCTGTCAAAGCCGAAGCGGAACTACAGTCAACTAGACAAAGAGGCATTGGCCGCTGTCACCGGAATAAAACGTTTCCACGAATATATCTATGGGAGAACCTTCACATTAATCACAGACCACAAGCCACTCCTGGGCATAATTGCAGGAAACAAAGCTACACCTAATATATTATCACCACGAATGACAAGGTGGTCAGAATTCCTGGCTGCCTATAACTACAAACTGACCTATTGACCCAGAAAAGACATAAATCATGCTGACACGCTTAGCCATTGCCCTCTACCTGACATAGAAGACGATCCAGCACCAACCACATCCACACTACAAATAGAGACATTAGAAAACCTACCCGTGATGGCAGCAGACATTGCTAGGGAAACAGCTAGAGACCAAAACCTGGCACGGATTTTAAATTGGGTAGGAAAAGGATGGCCAGAAACTGAGAGTGACAACACTGCCAAACCGTTCTGGAATAGACAAACAGAACTCTCAATGCTAAAAGGGTGCATACTATGGGGGGATCGGGTGGTCATACCAGACGTTTTAAGGAAATGCATACTTGAATTGTTACATGAGGGACACCCATGTATTATAAAAATGAAATCCCTGGCAAGAAGCTATGTATTTATGTGGCCAGGGATAGATAAGGAAATAGGGGACTGGGTGGCAACGTGTAAATGCTGCCAGGAATCTAGGCCCCCACAGTACCAAAACACGAATGGGAAACATCAAGGGGACCATGGTCAAGACTACACATTGATTTTGCAGGCCCAACCAAAGGACATACATTCTTAATAGTCATAGACACTTACTCCAAATGGCTAGAGGTAAGCATCATGCACTCCACCACAACAGAAGCCGTCATTAGACAGCTCAGGAAACTTTTTGCAACACATGGTTTGCCAGATCTAATTGTATCTGACAACGGGCCACAATTCACAGCAACAACATTTGAGGAG